CTGCATCATCGTCATCGCCAGCATCATCGTCATCGTCGTCATTGCCAACGTCGTCGTCGCCGTCATCATCATCAGCATCATCATCATACTCATCATCATCATCATCATCATCATCATCATCATCATCATCACCGTCATCATCATAATCAGCATCATCAGCATCACCACCATCGCCATACTGTATCGAGCGCCCAGCTTTGACACGGGTGGGCCTGCCCTGCCAACCCAAGCCCAGGCAGGACATGAAGGGGGGCAACGCCCTGGCAATATACAAACGCGGCGGCGGTGGGGATGACTGGATACCGTCGGAGCTCGATCCCAAGATACCTCCCACAAGAAACCAAACCCTGAGACCCCACGACGTCTATTGATTGTTGGTGTGGGAGCGTCACGATTCCCAGGGCAGAACCATCGAAACACAAGAAACCCAGGGCACCCTGGAGGCAAGCAAGGCGTTGCTTGGCGTGGCGTTCCACCGCACGTCTTTCGCAATGTGCTTTCTGCCAGTCGGCCATGGGCGAACAGCGTGACGTTGCAGCGGCAGCGCGAAGCGGTGGCGAGGAAGGCTAAGCCTGCGAGTAGTGCACGACCGCACGCACACACCACCGCCAACCTTCGTTGTCATTTAAAGCGCTGGGGCTTTTCGCGTTGGACTCCACCGAACTGGTAAAACAAGTTACCAGAGTTCCCCACGTACGGCTGTCACAGTCGAGCCTACGTGGGCAGCGCGGTGGGGCCTCTGTGGGTGCGCTCGGGGCCTGACAAGTGCCTCAATAGCGCTCTGGCGGGGCCTCCCTGGAGCGGGACAGGCACGAAACCTTGTCCATAAAATGGTGGTCCGATATCCTCGGTCTGGCGGGGCCTCCCTGGAAGGGTGAAGAGGCACGAAACCATATAAGTAGTATGGCGTTCCGATACCATCCTCGCTCTGGCGGGGCCTCCCTGGCGGGGTGGGAGGGGCACGAAACCTTGTCAACAGTATGGTTATCCGATACTCTATAGCTCAGGAGGGCCTCCCTGGAGGGGTGGGAGGGGCACACAACCTTGTAAATAGCATGGTTCTCCGATAGCCTCCCCGCTTCAGCGGGGCCTCCCTGGAAGGGTGAGAGGGACACGAAAGCGTGTAAATAGTATGGTTCTCGGATACCCTTCTCGCTCTGGCGGGGCCTCCTTAGAGGAATGGGAGTGACACGAAAGGGGCACGAAACCTTGTAAATAGCATGGTTATCCGATGCCCTCTTCGCTCTGGCGGGGCCGCCCTGGAGGGGTGGGAGGGACACGAAACCTTATACACAGTATGGCTCTCCGATATCCTCCTCGCTCTGGCGGGGCCTCCCTGGAGGGGCGGGAGGGGCACGAAACCTTATACTTAGTATGGTGTTCCGATACCCTCCGCGCTCTGGCGGGGCCTCCCTGGGTGGGAGGGGCACGACAACTTGTAAATAGTATGGTTCTCCGATACCCTCCTCGCTCAGGCGGGGTCTGGGCACGAAGCCTTGTACATAGTATGGTTCTCCGGTAGCATCATCGCTCAGGCGGGACCTCCCTGGAGGGATGGGAGGGGCACGAGACCTTGTGAATATGATGGTTTTCCAATATTCTCCTCGCTCTGACGGCGCCTCCCTGGAGGGGTGGTATTGGCAGTGGTAGTCGTGGTCGTAGTTGCAGCAGTTGTCGTAGAAGTGGCCGTGTGGTAGTGTGCGAGTGGTCTCGCAGCAGCAGCAGCAGCGGCGGAAGAGGAAGGAGGAGGGAGAAGGGTAGGGCTTCACTGGAAAACAATCACCCCAATCAGGATGTGGGAAAAAGCGGCACCCCAGACCATGGGTGTCAGACAGGCGGCACTGGACCAGCAACCACGCAGAACAAAATAAGTGACTGAAAAGGAACATGATACGCCACGGGCCGATCCAAAACGTGACTCATTTCACCCACAACTGACACGAGCAAACGCTCATCTTGAGAACGGACCAACCGAAAAACGCGCTGTCGCAACGTCAAACCCGCCAGCCCCTCAGCTCCACCTCGCCCCCAACCCAGCTGCTGCCTCTCGAAGACGCCGCCGCCCTGGTGGGTGTAGGGCCAAGCGAACTTGTTGGGCGTCGCGTCGAACATGTCCGGCGTGCGCAAGTCCTGTCGCCGCCGCCGCAGCCGTCCCAGACCCCCTCGCGCCGTGACAAAAATCACGACGACGACAGACGACGACGACCCGCTTGCCCGAGGCCGTCGGTGCCTGCGGTCAACTGTGGCCACAAGCGTGGTATCGTCGGCGCCGTCCACAGAACCCGCGCACCGCGAAAAAGTCCGCCGACCCATCGGCGTGTGTGAGACGCTGTCATCGTTTTCGTCGTCGGATTCGTCTTCTTCTCCGTCGTCGTCGTCGTCACCAGTCCCAAGACAATAAAAACGAACAGACAAAACAAACTTCATAATTGAGTCGATTCCCGCCCCTGCTTCCCCTTCCTGGCAAGAGGAGGGCACTGGGGGGGGCCCTGGGTCAGACTACTGGCCCCCCCTGGCTCCCAGCGGGTCCTGAGGGGGGTCCCCTCCAGGGGGCTCGCCAGCGGGGGTCCCGCGGGAGGTCCCGCCTGTGGTGGGGGCGTGGCCTCGGGTCAAAATGCCTCCCCGCACAGGGATCCCATCGGGTCTCCCAGGGCCCGACACGTGAAAACCCTCCAGTTGCGGTATTTCCTTAATGCTCAGAATTCTTTCTGGTGGTCGAGGCTAAAATTGGTTGGAACATTCTAACCGCACGGCTTTCACAGCAACGACGGCACATTTTCCGCCGTTTTCGGTCTCTGGCCCCGGACCGTCCTCTCGGGATGGAAGCGGTCCTGGGAGAGGGCTCGATACCTCCAGGGGTCCACGCTGTACATAAAATCATGGCTGCGGGGGTCTGTATGAAAGGGGCCGCCAGAGGAGAGGAAGTAGAAGGAGAAGGAGAGGAGGAGGAGGACGAGGAGGAGGAGGAGGAGGAGGAGGAAGAGACACATACTTGAGCATGCAGTCAGGAAGAAGAGAGAGGAGACATATGATGGGGACGAGGCGTGGAAGAGAAACGGGGAGGGCGGGGGAGGACGGGGTCACAAGGCGGAGGATGAGGCGCGGGAGCGGAAGGGAAGGAAAAGGAGGATAGAGGAGGCGGCGAAGGAGGAATAATGCGACGACATTTTGCAGATCTAGATCTGTACAGAATTCTGAATTCACAGCGAGGGCAGTGAAGATCGGGGGCGGCCAAGAGGGGGGCGTCTCAGAAGGGGGGGGGGTGCAAATCATGGCCGGCGGCACGTGCGCGGCCCCAGGGGGGTGGCCAGGGACGTGTTGAAATCAGGAAGAGGCGCCGTGAAGTCCCGGGAGATCTCATGGACCTCGCCATGATATCCAGCCCCCCTGGTCATCACCCCCCTCCCTGCCGCCCCCGAGAGGCGGGGGAGGAGCAGAGAGGAGCCGGAGGCCACGCGCGCCCGAGCCCGTCCCGCTCGCCGCACCGGGGGCGGCCGCGGCGGCGGCGAGCGCGGCCCGACGGGCAGGTCTGGGTCGGGCACGTCCCTCTACACTTAGGTCAGGCGTGCCCCCCATACAGGAGGATGTTGGGCGAAACATGAAAAACGGTCACACAAATATGGCCAAATAGCCGAAAGATAATATAAAAAAGGTCCCCGACATTTTTTAGACTATTTTTGAATCTTCCTCCTGTAGAGGGTTAGGCCCGACTTAACTCTACAGGAAGAGTATTCGAACATGGCCAAACAATAGTCTCGTGACGACTTTCTGACCATTGTTCCACCCTTTTGAACATTTTTGGGGTATTCCTCATGTTTCGTCCAACATCCGCCTGGAGGGGGACACGCCCGACCTACAGGCAGGTGTCCGCGATAGCCAGGGTCATCAACCATGAATCCCACCAGCCCTTTGGGCGTGAGTGGTTTAGCGAGCTCTCTCTGTTCTCAACCCCCCTTCTTCCCCTTCGGGGAGGGGCTTACCCCTCCCCCTACCCCCTCCCCCTGGACCTGGAGAGGTCCTTCCGCGGGTGGTCAGAGGGGTCTTTTTCGACTCCTGGGAGGGCTAAAAAAACGACACCCCTCACGAGGATTCTGGCCCCGACGGGGGGAGGGAGAAGAAAAGTGCTCCAAGCCAGGGCCATCAACCATGAATTCCTTTTCCTGTTGCCCCCCTGCTCGGGGCCCCGCCGACCTCCGAACCGGCATCCCTGCCACGACTTCCGGCACTCGCTCCCGCGGCCCCGCCCGACACCGGTGCCCATGCTGCGCGCGTGCCGACGCAGCGCATCCTGCTGCGCATCGCCAGCGCACGGGACCTCCCCAGCGCTCACCAGAGCGCCCCCAGCAACCACCTCGACTTCAGGCAGCTACCACGGCGCCCACAACAACACGCAAGCACCAACTCAAGAGGCAACCGCGACCACCACGGCCACAACCGTCTCGGAAGCCAACAGTACGACCCAAAGCAGCAGTCGGCGCAGAACTAGCCAGGTGGAAAGAGGACAACCCCTACTGGAACTGGAACAACGACAAGACCACCCAGAAGGACAAGAGCCGGATCTCCAAGCACGAGAAGGAGGAGGACCGCCGGGACGACAACAAAAGGACGACCAAGCAGCACAACGCCGTCATCGACAACATAATTTTGGACGTTTTACCAATAAGGAACAGGGATGCGACCAACCACCCCCAATGGGGGGAACCGCGAAGATCCTCATTGGTTTGCCCCACGTGCAGGAACAACAAGTTCCAGCTGCTCAAAACATTCGCGCGCGTCGCACTCATAAACAACCACAACGAACTACCAACAGAGGACTCGTTCAACATGATCACGCTCACCAAAGCCGTGACCATCAACAGCTTCCACATCAAAGACAAGCTCAAGGATCTGAATGACTACAAGAAAACGCTCAATGACGCAAGGAGCAACGCGCAGGAACACCTGACCCAGCTGAACGAGTACATCGCCGAGATGAGCCGCAAGCTCGACGGTACACATGCACACATAACGAACGACACAATTTTAGGTCGGGCGTGTCCCTGCAGGAGGATTTTGGACAACAAATAAAAGAACGGCCCCCAACACATATCGAGACATCGTCCCCATACTATGTTTAAAACTTTGGTTGGACATTCCCCCTGTAGAGGGACAAGTGCGAGATCCTCAGCAACAGTCTCCAACGAGAAGAACAGGCGACGGCTCGCTGCAAGGACGAGGCAGCGGCCTACAAGCACCAGAAGGGGCAGGATGCAGGGCAAGCACGAGTCACGCAGCCAACGCGGAGGTCAGCGACGAAAGCCGCACGGATCCAGACAACCTCAATGACGAGCGGCAGCAGCTGCTCGAAAGACCGTCATGGGCCTGAGTGCCAGCAGCGACAGCAGGAGTCACCCGGCCAGGAAGGAACACGAGAACAGAGAGGAGGAGGAGAAGGAGGAGGAGGAGGAGGAGGAGGAGGCGGTCTGTCTGTCTGTCTGTCTTCCCCACTCAAGCTAAACGAGCTCCTCACACACACATGCGTGCTCTGGGCCTAGGCTCTTGTAGCCGATCTCATCCTGAAGGGGTGCTCACACCCGAAAGAATACCCACAACAATTCAACAGTTGCTTTCGATGGGGTCCTGGGCGCGGTGGAGCGGCGCGCAGCGCTGCGCTGGCACGCCCCGCGCGGGGCAGGCCGACCTGGCCGTGGGACGAGGCGGGGCCACTGAACCCCTGGGCGAGAGGGACTCAAAGGCCACTGCCCTCCACCAGGGACGAGTGGCCCCAACCCCTTCCCCCGCCTCCGGAAGAAAAAAAAAAAAACAGATCTGCTTCTAGGCTTTGACCAACCTGACCCATTTGCCCCTAGGGGGGCGCGAACAGGCTTGTTGTTGAAGCCCGAAGCCCGAAACAGCTGATACACAGAGTGCCCTACTGGAACTACTTTGACAGCGGCGGTGCCTACTTCACACGCAAGGGGAGAACGAACGACGCGCGCCCCTGCCTTCTCCTTTGCGCCCTGCTCGGCCCCCACGTCCCCGAGAATGTCCCAGTATCTCTTCTGCTCTTGCAGCGGCGTCTGCTGGGAGGCCTCCACGAGGAGCGTGATAGATCCGAGGGCCTTGACCGTGATCCTTGAGATTCCTCCGTCCTGAGTGTTCGACGTGCCGCATTCTTTGATCCACAGGCTCGCCGTCGACATGTCCGTGTGCTTCATCATGAGCAGGAGGCGATCTGGCACCTCCGCGAGATGCTTGACTCAATTCTGCGCCGCGCCCTGCTGCTCGAGCCATCCGCTGAAACCGCTCAGGAGTGCGGCAGAACTCCGCAATTCTGGTGGGCCCAATCCTTGAGTGGTGGCGTTGCTCTCTACTTTCTTCTGGTAGTCGCTGTGCGTCGTCGTCAGCATTGGGTCCGAAGGCTTCAATGGGGGTCCGAAGGCTTCGATGGCTTCAGCAATGTCTAAAGTCTAAAGCACCACACGAGGTTTGCTCAGTTTCTGGCGGTGGTGTTCGGGCGCACCTGGGACGACGGAACGACCGAGATCGACAGATACGCGAGTGACGACGAGAGAGCGAACCCCTGGTGCGAGCAGCTACTAGACGACAGCAAGGCAATCGAGTTATTCGACGACGGAGCTAGGCTACTAGAGATTGATGGAGTAGAGGAGATAATGTTCGAGGGGAGGGAGGAGTTCGTCCACTTAGACATGGGGGCGATTAGGGCACACTACTTCCTGAACATCAAACAGCACGAGCACAAACAGGAGGAGATTGAGAAGGGTGTGCCTCACCGTTGCACGGCACTCATGGGCGACGGGGAGATCTGCAATGACAGGTTCCAAACAAAAACCAATTGGCAACACACTATCTGATGACCAAGCGGGACACGCACGGAAAGCAGCTACTGGGACGAACTTGTTGTGTATCCAGTCAGTGTGTACCCTTCTAGGCAGAGCCTAGGTGAGGAATTATTACCGCCCAACAAAGACGGGGCGAAGACCCTCAAGCTGGTCAGAGAGGGGAAACACCCGTCCACCAACCGCGTGGTGTGCAGGAATTCCTGCCTCACTATCTCAAACTCATTCTTTAGTTTTAACCCTGAGCGTTGTGCTTCCTCTAGAAGCAGACGTTCCGCAGATTGAAGAAGCTTGAAGGAGGAAGAGGAGGAGGAGGAGGAGGAGGAGGAGGAGGAGGAGGAGGAGGAGGAGGAGGAGGAGGAGAGGAGGAGGAGGAAGAGGAGGAGGAGGAGGAGGAGGAGGAGGAGGAGGGATGAGGAGGAGAAGGAGAGGAGGAGGAGAGGAGGAGAGAGGAGGAGGAGAGAGAGGAGGAGGAGGAGGGGAAAGAGAAGAGGAGGAGGAGGAGGGGAGGAGGAGGAGGAGGAGGGGAGGAGGAGGAGGAGGAGGAGGAGATCGAGGAAGGAGAGGAGGAGGAGGAGGAGGAGGAGGAGAGGAGGGGGAGGGGAGGAGAGGAGGAGGACGAGGAGCATGAGTTGGTGGAGGAGCAGGAGGAGGAGGAGGAGGTGGAGGAGCAGGAGGAGGAGGAGGAGGAGCCGCCGTCGTCCACTTGGTTGGGTGTCGCGAGCCGCGCGCGCGAGTCCTCGAGGATCTTCGTGCTGTCCTCGGGGCACTTGCTGGCGCTGCCTCGGGTCCCCCGGGCGGCCTGCTCGGCGTCCGCGGCCCTCGAGCGCGACCCCCTGGGGGCAGGGGCTGGCTCCTCTCCCTCCTACTCCTCCTCCGCCTCCTCCTCCCAATTTCCATCCCCCCTCTCCTCCCTCCTCCCTCCTCCTCCTCCTCTCCTCCTCTCCTCCTTCTCGTCCTCCTCCTCCTCCTCCCGCCCCGCTCCCCTCCTCCTCCTCACTCCGTCGCTCCCTCCCTCCTCCTCCACCTCCTGCTCCTCTTATTCCCCACCTCCTCCTTCTCCTCCTCCTCCTCCTCCTCCTCCTCCTCTTCCTCCTCCCTCTCCTAGTGTTCCTCCTCCTCCTCCTCTTCCTCCTCCTGCTTCTCCTCTTCCTCCTTCGCCTATCCTCCACATCCTCCTCCCCGTCGGCTTCCTTCCTTGTTCTCCTCCCGCTACAAATTCTCCAGAGGGGAGGCGGTCAGGGGAGTTCCCCTGAGACGCTCGGCGCCAAAAAGGATCCCGAAGCTGGAGGGCGTAAAGATGTTCAGGAATATGGAAGGCTGGCCGTTCTCAAGATGTGGCTCTCGCCCTAGCGCCGCGAGCACTCGTCATACCAGTGAGCACCAGCGTCACGGGTGCAGGACGGGCCGTGCTCTAAAGTGTGGTGCTCGCCACAGCGACGCGCACACACTCGTCTTGACAGGATTTGCGGCAGCTTCCACGGTGGATGGTGGGCGCTGTCAAAAAATGGGGCTCTCGCGCGCTCGCGTCGCGCAAGCTCGTCTCCGACACACGGCATCATGCTCAAGGACGCGAGGGCGCTGGGTTTCGGCATGGAGCTGCCACGCAAACACCGCGCACAGTCGTCTCAGAACTTGCATCTTATGTTCAGGGAAGGAGGGGGCGTTTCCGCTTCGCAGTGTGGCTCTCCCTGAGCGCCGCACAGATGCGTCCTGCATGTTGGAACAGACGCAGCGGTCACGTTGATTCGCGGTGTTGAGATCTCAGGAATGGTTTTCTGGTCCGATGTATAAGTTTCATGACTCAACCGCCAGGTTCACTGGCGGAGCTTAAGTCCCAGGACTTACGTTATGGCACGATTGGGGATTCTCAGGCGGTTGTCTTCTGATGGGGCACTTCCCGCAATTAGAGTTCATGCTTGTAGGAACCTAGGAACAGGGAGCTCGAAGGGTCGGTTTACTACAACATCGTGAATGCGTCTTGGGTCCTCCTTCTGCTCCTCCTCCTCCTTCTCCTCCACCCACCCTCTCTTATAGAGTATAGAAACCCTGGATGCAAAGGTCTGGAGCAACAGACTCCTCCTCTTGCTCCTCCTCCTCCTCCTCCTCCTCCTCCCCCTTTCCTCCTTATCTCCTTCTCTCCTCCTCCCCCCTCCTCTCTCTCCTCCTCTACTTATTTATCTGATTATTATCATTATTCTTATTCTTCATCCTCCTCCTCCTCCTCCCTCTCTTCCCCATGCCTCCAAAACCTGCTGAGGTTTGACCGTGACGTCCGCGAGAATCGACAAACTTAGACGTGTGTGAAAACCCTCCCTGGGTCTCCAAGGCCCCCGAGCAGCCTATGGGGGGCCTCTGGAAACCTCCCGAGGTCGGCATCCCGGGAGGGCACTGCCAAACGTTGCGCCCCCCTCCCCTGCGCACTCAGCCTCCTCCTCACCCGCCCCACCATCACCACGCACGGGACGTTCCCGCCACGGCGAGCCTCGGCCACCGCGACGTGCTCCCCGCCCTGCGACCACGAGGAGCGGCACGCACAGCCTGGCTCCTCCTGCACCGAGAAAGGGGCCCGGCTCCCCCCAAAACAGCGCCTGCACGGAGGAATTCCTGAGACTCCCCTGCCAAAGGAACGGGGACCCGTCCGTTGGCCCGGCGGCCCCGTGCCCGTCCACTGCCACCTTTTCTTAACCAATACACGGCCCGTCGGTTGGCCCCGCGGTCCCGTCTATTACCGTCCGTCGCCGCCGCTCCGTTGCGCCCCCCCCCCGCCGTTGCACCCCCCGCCCCGTTCGCACGGCAGCAAGCTTTGCATTCCTTTGCACAGCGTTGCATCGCGTTGCGTTGCTGTGCAGTGCTTGTCACTGCTTTGCCTTTTATCCCCAATTGGCTCGTCCTGGAAACCCTGAGGCCAACAAAACATTTGCCTCCGCCAGCTGGGAGCCGCCCCCATTTTGCGTCCGCCGCATCTGCCGAAGAAGAGATGCCAACTTCTCGATTCTTGAAGGCGAGGCTCACTCTGAAGCGCACTAAACAATGTCTGCACTGAGGGGATAGTGCTTGGCCTAGAAGGAATTGGGAACACCTGCTGCGACTTCTCGCTCCCGCCCCCATGCTCACGGGATGATGTATCCGCCCCCTCCCCCCGGCATCCAACGTCGTGTCTTTCTTACGTCGCGGCTCCGTAGAGGTCCGGACCCCTTCCTGGGACCAGCTTTTCATACCGAGTTGTTTTCTGACTGCGATCGGGTGCGGCACGGGCCCCCAGAAGAGGAGAAACTGGCCAGAAGCCGTCCGCTGCGCTTTTTCCACGACGCGAGGGTGTCAGCCCCCCCCCCGCCTTCCACTGCCTCCTGGCCCTCAGAGCGGACCTCTCCGTCCAGGTCAACTGTGACGCCAGCCCTCTCGGGGTGAAGTCGCGTGCATCATAAGACGAAGAGCCAGGACGAGACAAATTCGGATGACGGTAAATCGAGAATCTCTCAAATCCGGCGGCTTTGGAGGATGTCTCGGGCGCCGCGGCATTTTCAGAGCGCTCGGACACGCCCTGAGAGAGTTTTGGAACGCTCTGGAACGATTTATCCTCATCCTAGCTCCGCCCGGCATAACCTGTACTGGACCTTCTGTCAACGAGAACTGTCCCAGGACGACAACTTGCCAAAAGGCCCCGCCGTCGTCTTGCAAAGGCCGCCGAAGCTCAGGGAAAACGCTCAGCACAGGCCTCTGGGCCCGCACAGCTGCAATCCAGAGGGGGGAGGTAAAGAAGGAGGACGCGGGAGGAGAAGTTGGCGGCGCGCAGAATGGGGTAATTAGGGGGAGGGTGAAGGCTTCTTAAAAGAAGGCTGCTTTGCAGAAGGCGCGGGCCTTCCATCTACAGACAAGGCCCGCGCCTTCTGAGAAGTAACCTCCTTAAGAAGCCTCCCCACCTCCCCCTACTCCCACTCTGCGCGTGGCCGCAGAAGGAAGGGGCCGCGTGAAATTTTGCACTCCACACCCGCGCCTCTGGGCAGCACAGCCGCAAACGCCGGCCGCACAACGGAGGGAGGTGCAGCTGGCCAACAGAAACAGCCACCGAGTGTGAGTATGAGAATAGTGTATGAAGTGCGTCGTGCGGGAAAGACTTGTGCCCGTATCCACTGCAGCTTGGAGTTTCGGGCTGCCTTCCCCAGGAGCCCCATGCGCACTGGATGATGTGGAGAAAAATCTGGCCCCTAGAGACGCTTGATGTTCATCCATATCCAGTGCGCCTCGGCCTCGTGGCGCCCCATTCAAGAAAATCCAAAACGCACTTGACATGGATATACATCTTGCTCGCAATTCGTGCCTTCACACCTTACAAATGCACTCGATGACTAGATGCTCGTTATGAAGACCTTCCTGGAGCCACTCGCTGCACCCCTGCGTCGATGCTGCGGCGTGGTATAGAGCCGATCCGTGCTCGAACTAGGTTCGAACTGGAGTCGACCTGATCCGTCAGGTGAGCCCCAACAATGTCCACCAAACGACCATCTAGCGACGTACTCGAACTAGATTCGAACTGGAGTCGACCTGATCCGTCAGGTGAGCCCCAACACTGTCCACCAAACGACCATCTAGCGATGGGGACACGGCCGCCTGGAGGGCCTCTCCAACGCATCCCGTCGAAAAACGGAGAAACAGCCGACGCTTGGCGACGAGCAGAGGGGGGTAGGGGGAGGGGGGAAGGCTTCTTAGAAGCACCCTGCTTCTTAGAAGGCCCTGGCCTTACATGTATAGAGAAGGCCCGCGCCTTCTAAGAAGCAGGGGTGCTTCTAAGAAGCCTTCCCCCCTCCCCCTGCCCCCCTCTGCGCGTGGCTGAGACGCCGCGCAGGCCGCCGAAGCCTGGCACCGATGGGGCGGGCAGCGCCGGGGGGCCCTGCCAACGGGCCCGCGGGCCAACCTCGCTGCGGGCACTGCGCCGGCCTCGTGGCGGGGATCCGCCGCGGCTCCGCGAGGCGTGTCCCGCCAGCCCTTCCAATATAGAGGAAGAGAAAAGAGGAGGAGGAGGAGGAGGAGACACAGTTGTGGCTGGTGTCTCTCTGTCCTGCCCCTTCGGCCCAGCGGCATGCGTTGGACGCCGCGGCCGCGGCGCGCAAGGCGGCCTGTGGAACGTCCCGCGCCCTGACTGGCGCGCTCCTCCCCGGTCCTGCCCTCGCCCCTCCCTTCCCCAGCCCCCTCGTGCTCAGAGTCCATGCCGTGGGAAGCCCCCGAGCGTCGCACGTCTCCGCGGACACGCACGGACGCGCTGCGGGCCTGCGCCAGTGCACCTACCGTGCTGTGGACCTCCACGGCGGCGCCGTTGCCGCCAAAGCTCCTCCCCAGCAAAACAGGCGACGTGCTGTCCTAACCGCATGGACAAACCAAATTAAACATGAAAAGCAGCGTGTCTTACGCGAGATGGCATGGCGACCTTACGCGGTGGCTCTCGCGGGCCGCAGAGCGGCACGCCACACTGAAAAGGAGAGCGCTGACGCGCACCCTTCTCCCGCCAGCTTACGCGCCACTGTCGGTGAAGACGACCCCGTTGTCTTCCTTCGGTCAAACGGCTGGAGAATGTCGTTTTCGATCTGCGGCAGCCTCCCAATGAGATCTCCAGCTTGACACACTGCGGGGCAAGCCTGGGAACCCCTAACCGCCGGAATCCTCCCTCTGCCTGCCTTCCACTTGGTGTCTCCGCCGCCTTCCTTCCGTTCTCCTCCCTCCGACCCGCACTGCAATCGGCACTACGGCGGTGCTTGAAACAGCTCGCGCAACCGTGTATGATCGCGAAGCCTGCGTCTGCTCCGAAAGGTTAGCGCCACGACGCCTAGAGTGCAATGGGAGACAACCCAAGTCAATCGAGGCTTCTTGCCTTGCAGTCCTATGTCCAGCGCCGCTGTGCGAGAGGGTTGTCTCGACTGCGGGCTTACGCTGTTGTCACTGCCAGCCCCCCCATACCTCATGCCCATCCCTCCAGAGGCCCTGGCGACCGCCTTCACTCCCCCGTCCCTCGCCTCATCCACCTGGCTTGACAAACCCCCACTGCCAGGCAAGGCCACGATCATTTAGGACCGAAGTCGCCCGAGGGTGTAGAGCAGGACTCCGGCAGCCCCCGAGGGGTGGCCTGGCGCTCTCCGACCACTGGGGGCGAACTTCGCGCCAGCACGGATCGAGCAGCTGACTCGTCCGGGGCCTTCTTGAGGATGGGCTGTCGCCAACGAAAGCGTCGCCACCTCAAGCAAAAGCAGGTGGAGGTGGAGGACGGAAACTTAGAGGAAGAAGAGCACTGCAGCACTGCATAAACATAGCTCCGCGCGGACTCCTCGGATCAGCGCTGGAGCCCACCCTCCCTGGTGCGCGAGGCGCGCCAGGAGCGGCGCCCGAGGCGCCGCCAGGGAGACCTCGGCGCCGATCCGAAAAATCGGCAGAGCCCCCCAAAAATAGCGCTTCTGCCGCGCCGCTGCGCACCGCTCGAAATATCTCCACAATCTGGCTGTGAACGGGCTGTCTTGGGGATTTTTTGGGGCTGGTTTGGGCCTCTCGGGGGCGGGGCTTCTAGGAGGCCTTTTGGAGGCCTGCTGGCTGTTTCTGACCCGCTCAGGTTGCCAGCTCTTGGCGCACTCAGGCATCGCCAGCGTCGGCGGAGGGAGCGGCCACGCTGGTGCCGACCTCCACGGTGGCGTCGTCGCCGGGCGTGTAGTGCCTCTCGAGCTTCTCGTACTCTTCCTCGCAGGTCTTCTCGTCGCACTCGTCGCGGAGGCCAGTGGGGGAGGTCGAACGCGAGCCTGTGCTGTTTGCCCCGCCGCTCTCGAGGCGGGCGATCTCCTTCTCGACCCGCTGCTTCCTCTTCATCTCGTCTATCGCCTTCTTCTTGCACCGGCTTCTGGCGTAGTCCTTGATGTCCTTGTCCGCCTGCGCCGCCATGGCCTTGAGCGCCTCGAGGCTGAGCCCCTGCAACTCCAGCGTCCTGCTGTCCCTGCGCGAGGCCTTCCTCTCCAGGCTCCGGCCCTGCGAGTGCCTCCTGCCGTCGCTGCGGGAGCTCTTCGCCGCGAGGCCCCGGCTCTGCGAGGGGCTCCCTCCCCCGGGCGACGTGCTGCCGCCGTCGTCGGCCTCCGGCTTCTCCCTCGTGCTCATGCTCCGCTGGATAGAGCGGGCTATGGACGCCATCTCCGCTGTGGACGCCCGAAAAGGGTACGGACAAAAACGGGTGCAATATGCCCAACCACAAATGTTGCCCCAAACCAACAGCGGCCGCTGTTGGGCAGGCGGCCTTCTGTCTCACATGGACACAGGCCGCGGCGGCGCGGGCAGCGAGCCCTGCTCAAAATGAGCAGGAACTGCTGTTGGGCGTTGCACCCGTTCCTTCCGCACCCATTTCGTCCGTGCAGATCCGCAGGGGAAGGCCCGCCAAGGGCGACCGTCGGCCCCGGCGCGTGCAGCCGCGCGGCGTCCGCCGCTCTCGCGGCGGGGCTCGGCGCGGGCCGGCCAGAGCCCAGATGGCTGTAGTAGGCCCAGTAGGCTGGCGCCTCTGCGCTCCTTCGAGCCGCTTGGCACGCCAGTAGAATCGGCGCGCGCGAAAACATGACACGATGCCCAACAGCAAAGGCTGTCCAAAACCGACGGCGGCCACGTCTGGGACTGGCTGTCTCAAGTGGACAACCTCCGCGGCGACAACGGACGGCGAATCCTGCTGAAAATGGATGGGGACGGCTGTCGGCCTTCGTACCTAGGCTGCGCACCCTATCCGCGCCTCTGGAAGCAGCGCCGCCGGCGAAGACGGCACGGAGATCCCAGGACTCGTAGGACCGCGCGACCGATGCAAAGACGATGAGCACGACTCGTGCAAGCGTGCTGGGACGTCATGGAGGACCTAGGGCAAAGATGGCCCAAAAGTGGCCTGAGGCGGCACCAGCGGCAAAGAGGCCTGCACGACGGTCAAGTCGGCCCCAAACACCCCAAGAGGGCCCCTACCAAAGGCACCAAGCGGCCAAAATCAATGAAAAACAAATGCTGCGCCTAGACGTTCCAACCGAGCCTGGGTCCCAAGCACTTCGGCTCAGAATGACAAATCAAGATCCGCAATATCGAGGGAGGGACTTTTCGACTTCGCTGCATGGGGGCGGGGCGCAACGCGATGAAGTCCGCACATAGAAAAGCCCAACAGAAACCGCACCCGTCCTGGGGAAACCAAAAAAATCCAGCCCCCTTCTGGCAGCGCAGACCTCGCAGTTCCCTGGGGGGCTGCGAATTACGCGACTGTCGCTAATTGCGTGGGCTCCTGGGAGGACCAGCGGAGAGGGTGTATGTAGTCACGCGGACCCGTTTGAGACCTCGCGGTTCTGTGTGTGTGCGAATGCGCAATTGTCGTCCGTCCGCGGGTTCCTTCGAAGTCCTGCCGGGGGGGGTCGCCACGCGGATCCGTTTGAGCACTTGCGGTCCCCTGGAAAGCTGCGCATTGCACAACTGTCGCCACGCTCGCGGGTTCTTGGGAGGTCCGACGGAATTGGTAGTCACACGGACCCATGTGGGACCTCGCGGCTGCAAGGCGGGTGTGCGCACTACACAACTGTGGCCAAAATCGCTGGCCTTTGGGAAGATCAGCGGAGAGGGTAATCACGCAAACCCGTTGGACATCCCTCGGTTCCTGGTGGTGGGTGGCGAACTGCGCATCGATCGCCACGTTCGTACGTTCATGGGAGGTGCAGCGGCGTGGGTGCCCACGCGGACCCAATTGACACATGCTGCGGAGTGCGCAACTGTTGCCGCCTACGTGGGTTCATTGGAGGTCTTGCGGAAGGGACAGCCTCGCGGACTTGTTTCAGACCTTTCGGCTGACCTGCTGGATTCCGAATTGCAAAGCTGTCGCCACACTCGCGGGTTTTCGGGAGGTCCAGCGGCATGGATAGCCACGCGGACCGCTGTGGGACCTCGCGGCTCCGTGGGCGGAGACGAAGTACGCAACGGTCGCCAATTCCGCTGGTTCCTGGGAGGACTACCGCAGAGGGTGATCACACGAACCCGTTTGAAATTCCGCGGTTCCTGGTGGGGGGCGGCGAACACCACAACGATCGCCACTTTTGTTGGTCCCTGGGAGGCCCAGCGGCGCGGGTACTCACGCGGACCCAGTTGAAACAGCTGCGAATTGCGCAATTATTGTCATTTTCGTGGGTTCGTTGAAAATCTCGCGGAAGGGGGTCGCCACGCGGATCCGTGTAAGACCCTGCAGTTTGCTTGGGGGGCTGCGAATTGCACAGCTGTCACCACACTCGCGGGCTCTTGGGGGGTCCAACGGGATCGGTAATCACGCGGGCCCCTGTGGGACCTCTGGGTTCCGTGGGGCGGTGCTAACCACGCAGCAGTCGCCAATGTCATTCGCTCCTGGGGGGACCAGCGGTGAGGGTAGTCACACGCACCCGTTTGTAATTCCGTGGCTCCTGATGGGGGGTGCGAACTGCGCAACGATCGCCATTTTCGTGGCTTCCTGGGAGGTCCAGTGGCGTGGGTACTCACGCAGACCCATTTGAGACACGCTGCGGATTGCGCAAGTGTTGTCATTGTCGTGGATTCCTTGGGAATCCCGCGGAAAGAGGTAGCTACGCGGATCCGCGTGAGATCTTACGGCTCCCTGGGGCGCTGCGAGTTGCGCAGCTGTCGCCACGTTCGTGGACTCCTGGGAGGTCACGCGCGGTGGGTAATCACGCAGACCCCTGCGGGACGTTGCGGCCCCTGGGAGGGTTGCAATTCGCGTGGCCGCTGCAAATTCCGTGGGCTCCTGGGAGAGCCAGCGTAAAATGTCGCCAAACGGACCTGCTTAAACACCTCGCTGCCCCCTAGGGAGTTACGCAACGCGCAACTGCCAATGTCGACACTCTCGCTGGCTCCTGGGAGGTCCAGCGGGGTGGTCGAATAACTCTGGTCCATGCGGGACGTCGCCGCGCTAAAACCCTGTCGGCGCCGCCGGGGATGTTTGAAACGGGATGAGACCAGACGAATATGACAAGGCGCGCGTCCACATGGTGCGTAGCGACGTCCCGTCATTTACCGCGCGGCGCTGTTGCATCACAGATCGCAGAGTGCTGGAACGTCAAGTAGCCCATGGCGCTGTCCTCGGTGGCCTCTGCCCCCTCCCTTCTCAGGTGGCTGTCGCCCGCAGCATCAGCAGCAGGGGGGGTGCCGAGCAGATGCAGCACATGGCGCTGTTACTATCAAAATTATGTCGTCCCCTTCCTTCTCATTCCTCCTTGTCCTCCTCCCCCCACTTCCTCCTCCTCCTCCTCCTCTCCTCCTCCTCTTCAGGTTCTGTCCCCCGTTCTGTATTCCTTGTCGTTGCGCTTGTCGTCGCCGTCCTCAGTATCGCACTTGCGCAAGTGTGCGACGCGCCTGGCCTGACCTTGTTTGGCGAAACGTGTCCTCGGTCTGCATTAGCTCGCAGTGTGTTCTGTTGTATGGAGCGTTCATACTATGAATACTCGCCTCGCGTGGAGAAATGGTTGGGTACGTCTCGGGGAATTGCTTCAATGCGGGATCCCCAGAAATTCCAACCCTTCTCCCTGGGCCATTTTTTCATCCTGGTGCGGTTTTTGACGGTCCCAGGGCCTTGCGAGGGCCGCGGGAACGAAGACATTGCCCTAAACCGATCGTCGTTGGGGAAACCATGAAAAAGGGATACTGCTACTCCCGGACCTCTTCCGGGGTGCCTTCTGAGTAGAAATTCGAAGCGATTCCAGCGGCGGCCACGACGGCCTCACAGCAGGCCCAAAAAGGTGAAAACGTCGCGAGGATGGCGGTATGGGTACCCGTCGTTAGGAAGAAGTATGTAGAAACATGGAGTAGGAAGACGTCGGAAGTAGATTAGGCTTCCGCCCGCTCCCTGAAGAGGAGGAAGAGGGACAACCGCCCGACTCTTGAAGTAGGAAGGCGCCTAAAGTAGGTTGGGATATGTGGATCCAGAAATACCTACACGTCGTTCATTTCTAATCGTGCTCATTTCTAAGTGTGCTCGTTTCTAATTGTTCCTGGCCCCCCCCGTGGCCAGGAAGACGCCCAGGATAGAACAATTAGAAATGAAAAGGATCTTGGCCCCCAAAAAATCAAAGACCTTTCGCAGAATTGGACATGAACAATGTGCACTTTCAACGACCGACGGGCACCTTGTCCTCCTCACAGTCGTGTTGCTTCCCGACAAGAGCGTGGTCAGGGGAGCGCGGGGGGGAGGAGGGAGGAGGGAGGAGGGAGGATGGACGAGGAGGAGGAGGGAGGAGGGAGGAGGGAGGAGGGAGGAGGGAGGAGGAGAGGAGGAGGGAGGAGGGAGGAGGAGGAGGAGGAGGAGGAGGAGGAGGAGGAGGAGGAGGAGGAGGAGGAGGAGGAGGAGGAGGAGGAGGAGGAGAGGAGGAGGAGGAGGAGGAGGGAGGAGGAGGAGGAGGAGGAGGAGGAGGAGGAGGAGGAGGAGGAGGAGGAGGAGGAGGAGGAGGAGGAGGAGGAGGAGGAGGAGGAGGAGGAGGAGGAGGGGCGGGGGCGCCTCTTGCCGCCCCAGCTCGCGCCATGCAGGATGGGGCACGTCTGGGCCCCGGCGTCGGCCTCCTGCGGCGGCGGGCGCGCGCCGTTGGCGCGTGCGCGCACCGGCGGGACGAAGCAGACGAACTCGGCACCGCGATGCTTCTCGGAGCTGGCGTCGGTAATGTTAGGTCGGGCATGTCCCCCTACAGGTGGACTTTGAACGGAAAATTAAAAAATACTCCAAAATGCGCCAAAAATGCAAAACAAATATCCATACTAGAAACATCGTCCTCATACTATCGTTCGACTAGTTTTGAATATTCTCCCTGTGAAGGGACAGGCCCGACTTAAAGCTGGCGTCGGTAATGACCCGTCGGACGGAAGAAGTGACTGGAAACATGACATGGGAAGGCATGGGAAGCAGATTGGGCTTCCGCCCGCCACCTCAGGACGAGGCAGGAATACCGCTCGACTCTTGAAGTAGGAAGGCACCTAAAGTACGTTGGGACCTGCGCATCTTTCAACTCCGAGTGTAAGCAGGCGCGTTCCACTATTCGATACTCGCAATGCAGCTACTCGCAAACGGCCGTGGTCCGCCGCGGGGATGCTACGATCCATTTACATCGAGGCACACATGCGTTGTTTTTTTCTTACGTTTGCGAGTAGGCACTTAGCGAGTAGTGGAACGCGCTCGATGAGTCGGTGACACACACACAACGGAGGGCTTCTGGTAGTTTTCGGCCTCCTGGGGCATACTGGTCCCGGGGAAGTGGTCCAAAGGACTCCCGTTGGTATGACGGGGCCGTCAGGCAAATGGCGAGCCCCCGGTTGACGTTCGACGCGCGCCCCCCGCTGCACACGTCCCACGAAGACCGGGCCGTCGAAACGCAGCACGGGCCCGTCAGAGGGGGCCCTGGAGAAGCGGGGTGCCTGGCGCCCTCGGGTGCTTCCCCGATCCTGCGCCGGCAGGGGCGCGCCACTGGCGCGGCGCGCACCGGGGCCCGGAGCCGGCGAGCTCCGCACCGCGGTGCCGGTCGGAGCCGGATCGGGGAGGGGAGGCCCGAAGCATCCTCGCGGCGCGGGGGGGGGGAGGCTCAGCATCTGCCGCGGCGTGCCGCGGAGGGGAGCCTGCTGGGCCTGTGCTCCGCCACCCCCGGGCTGCCGCCGGGGGCCGCTCCTCGTGCCCCTCCTGCCTCTTGGCAGTTGGGCGGGCGCCAGCCGCCAGGCGAATCTGTAGATCACGCTAACCATCCCCAGCCCTGATGACTCGGGAGGGCTGGACGCCCAAACGATCCGGGATCGCTGCGGTCCAGGGTAACTCCAGTTGGGGCCCCCGAAGCGCGATTCTGTAGATCACGCGGACCACCCGCAGCCCTGATGATTCGGGAGGGCTGGACGCCCAAATGATCGGGGATCGCTGCGGTCCGGGGTAACTCCGGTTGGGGCCCCCGAAGCGCGATTCTGTAGATCACGCGGACCACCCGCAGCCCTGATGATTCGGGAGGGCTGGACGCCCAAGTGATCGGGGATCGCTGCGGTCCGGGGTAACTCCGGTTGGGGCCCCCGAAGCGCGATTCTGTGGATCACGCTGACCACCCGCAGCCCTGATGATTCGGGAGGGCTGGACGCCCAAGTGATCGGGGATCGCTGCGGTCCGGGGTAACTCCGGTTGGGGCCCCCGAAGCGCGATTCTGTAGATAACGCTGACCACCCCCAGCACTGATGATTCGGGAGGGCTGGACGCCCAAACGATCCAGGATCGCTGCGGTCCAGGGTAACCCTGGTTTGGGGCCCCCGAAGCGCGGTTCTGTAGAATAGCGCTGACCACCCGCAGCACTGATGACTCGGGAGGGCTGGACGCCCACATGATCCAGGATCGCTGCGGTCCGGGGTAACTCCGGTTTGGGCCCCCGAAGCGCGATTCTGTAGATCACGCGGACCACCCGCAGCCCTGATGATTCGGGAGAGCTGGACGCCCAAACGATCCGGGATCGCTGCGGTCCAGGGTAACCCCGGTTTGGGGCCCCCGAGGCGCGAACCTGGCAGATTCCCCTGACCACGCCCAGCCCTGATGATTCGGAGCTCTGATCGGCGGCGAGCCCGGGGGGGAAGTGAGGAGGGCGGGCCTTTTCAGAAGGCTCGGAAGCACCTCGGCCTCCAGGACAAATTTTGAGCCCTCCCCGAAGACACAGAGAACGTCCCAGAAGCTCAGAAGGCGCGAGGGCTTCTATGTGAAGTCCCGCCGCCTAGAGGCCTTCACCTCCTCACTTCCCACCCCCGCTGGCCGCCCACCTGGCTCATCGCGCATCCTTCCTATCAGTTCTGACGGTACGCCTTCATGACGTATGGTGGTCGGAGTATCTTGGTCGTCTGGGTATGGTGGTGTCAGCTATACCGTATGCGGCCTTGCTGTACTCATGCCAGGCGAGCTCCTCGAGCTATTCTCCGTTTCTTTGAGGCCAGGCAGCCCCTGGCCATAGTCATTATACGCCTTCTTGTCGTCAGCACGCCAGGGAGGTCTGGGGCACCGACGGGTGGGCAACCACGGGGCCTCCCGCCGCCCGCCGGTGCAGCCGCCCTCCGGGGGGGGTCCCCAGCCACCTCCCGCCTCCTCCCTCCTCCCTCTGTGTTCCCTCGTCCTCCTCCCTCTTCCCTCCCTCATACACCTCCTCCCTCCTTAATCCTCCTCCTCCTCCTCCTCCTCCTCCTCCTTCTCCCCGTCCCCCCTTTTCCTCCTCCTCCTCCTCCTCCTCATCCTTCTCCTCTCCTTTCTCTCCTCCTATCCTCCTCCTTCCCCTTGGTCGTCGTCGTCCTCCTCATTCTCCTCCTCCTCCTCCTCCTCCTACATTCCTTTTCCTGATGAGTAACTCCTCCCTGTCGCACCCCGGGGCCAGTCGAAAGGGCGGGCTGGGCGTTTCGCCTGATTCTACCTCACCATTCATGATCCTGAAGCTTGATGTTCGCAAGAGCTTCACGGATGGAGGGCGGTCCGTTGTCAACATGCGGCTCTCGCCTTAGCGCCAGGCGCACTCGTCGTAAACAATTGCAAGAGCTTCACGGGTGGAAGACTGCCAGTTTTCAATATGTGGTTTTCGCCTTCGCGCCGCGCATATCCCTTTTAAAAACTTGCATGGATTTCGCTCATGGAGGGCGGCCCCTTTTTTCTAAATGTGGGTCTCGCCTCAGCTCCGCGCACACGCATTTTAAGGATTCGCACAAGTGTCAAGGATTAACATGCTTAGCGTCCCAGAAGTGGTGTGTTGGCACGATGTCGAAATGTCAAGGCGCAAACGTCACGCTGATTCACGGTGTTGAAATCCCAGGACTAGCCGTCCTGGCACGATCCAGGATCGTCAAGACGCAGCAGTCGCGGTGATTCGCGGCGTCGAAGTTCGTAGGGCTGCGTTCTTGCAAAATTCCAGATTTTCGGGCGGTTGTCTTCCAACGTGGCCTTTCCCTCGCTGCAGGAGCAGGGGGGGCGAGGATGAGGACCACGACGAGGATGAGAGGAAGCAGGAAGGAGAAGAGAGGAGAGGGAGGAGCTAGTGAGGCCATGGAGAACGGAGAAGCGAGCCCGCGCGAGAGGACTGCCTCACACGAGAGGAGGGGGAGGAGGAGGAGGAAGAGGAGGAGGAGGAGGAGGAGGAGGAGGAGGAGGACGATGATGAGGTGGAGGAGAAGGAGGAGGAGCAAGAGGCGGGACGACAATAGATGAAGTAGGGGAGACGAAGAGGATTCTGAGGAGGAACAAAGATTTAAGCGAGGGTCCTTGGCATCGTCTTCCCGGAGATGCACAAATGTGTTCTTGATCGAGGGCTTGTGCTCTATCCCGTCCTCGTCCGCCTCCGGGTCTACCTGCTGACAAAGGGGGGCAATTGATTTCCTCATCGTAATCTCCCTCCTTCTCCACCTCCTCATCCTCCTCCACCTCCTTTTCCTGCTCCTCCTCCCGACCCTTCCGCCTCTTCCTTCCTCATTCCACCCTCCTTTTATTTCTGCACCTCTACTTTCACCCTTCGACTCCATCTTGTTCTACCTTCTCATCCTTATCATCCTTCTCTTAATCCAAACAATCAGCATTATGAGTCACCAGTCATCATAATCATCACCGTGGCCACCATCCTATTTCTGCTCCTCCCGCCTAGGATGAGCACGGAAGGACATCAGGGTCTGCTCTCTCCCTCCTCCCTCTCCCCCTTCCTCTCTGTCCATCCTCCTTCCCTTTCCCCCTCTCCCCTCTCCTCTTCGTCGAGATGGACGACGACGAGAATGACAAACGACAGCGACAGACGACGCAAGACGAAGGACCAAGCCGACGAACGATACCGATGGACGACGACGAAGGACGACGACAACGACGAAGGACGCCGAACGACGACGTTCGCCCCCGGAGGCCGAAAACTGCCAAACCTGCCACGACGCGAGGACGCCTGGTTTTCGGGGCATGACTCGGGCCTCCGGCTGCCGATCGGGACGTTCTGGGCACCCCTGGAACGCCCTCGACGATGCGCAGCTGCTGGAGGGCGTCATGAGGCGAGAGAACCCCCAGAGCACCTCCTCGAGGGCGTCGAGAGAGGGCGGTCGCTCCCGTCGGAAGCCGCGCGGCGGCAGGAGGGCGGTGCGAAGTTCGCCGCCGCGGGCCGCCCGCGAGACGCCGTCCGTGGTCGCGATGCGGGGATGGATTGATGATCTGTCCAGGTCCAAATCGGGGTCCACCAAAGGGGGGGGGACCCCGACGGGGGGGGGGAGTTCGATCCGCTGCTGCATCGAAGTTCCGGAAAATGATGCCCCCCGCGCGCCCCGACCGTCGACGCCGCTCGGGTTCTGGCGGCGGCCGGAGACCTCGTTTTGCATCGTTTCTCTGCGGTTTGATGCGCCAGCGGACCGAACTCCCCCCCCCGGTGGGGAGGGAGGGAGGGAGGGAGGGAGGGAGGGAGGGAGGGAGGGAGGGAGGGAGGAGGAGGAGGAGAAGGAGGAGGAGGGGGAGGAGGAGGAGGGGGAAGGTCTCTGCGAGGCCCCGACCAAAGCCTGGAGGACCGAAGCCCTGGGGCCCAAGGCGGTGGTGAGCGAGCGAGCGAGCGAGCGAGCAACCTGACGTCCACTCCCTGCGGGGAGCGGCCCCCTCGGTGGCAGCAGGGAGGGGCCGCCTGGGCAGACCGTGGGTGGTGAAGCGTGGGGTGCGCAGGACACGGGTGTCGGAAGGCCGTGAACTCTGCTCGTTCCTCGCCGCGAGGTCGGCCGTCCCCAAAGGGGGGGCGTGGATGGGTGAGCCCCAGCCTCCCCTGACGATCGAGGGCCGCCGACGGATGTGGCCGCCCACAGGGGCTGGCGCATGTGGCCGCCAACAGGTGCTGGAAGACCGTGAACTCGACTCTTTCCTCGCCGCGAGGTCGGCCGTCCCCAAAGGGGGGGCGTGGATGGGTGAGCCCCAACCTCCCCTGACGATCGAGGGCCGCCGACGGATGTGGCCGCCCACAGGGGCTGGCGCATGTGGCCGCCGAGTCCGCCGCCGTCCGAGATCCGTGAAGACCGATCCCCCCTGCGGTGGTGACTCCAAATCCCTTATCTAGGGGGCAAACAAACCTACCTCGCTTTTGACCACCCTCGCTTCCAAGGGATACCAAGCGATGCCAAACTACGGCCTGTACTGGTCAGGCCGCTTGACGAGGAGGCGCGTGGTATGACTTGATTTTGCCTGGAAGCGAAAGCGGGGTAGGTAATTCACGCTCTGATTATCAATCTTCCCCCAGGTCCGGTTTTTTAAGGAGCCCTTTCTGTGACTGGGGGGGGTCTGGTGCCTTGAGGCGCTTTTCTCTGGGTTGGAGCTTCGGGGGTCCGGTTTTTATCGAGGCGCCCCGTCGAAGAGTGGGCCCAGAATGTCAGGTCGCATCTGCAGGGGGGTCCCGTTTTTTGAGGGGGGTCGATGAAGAAGGGATCTGGAGTGTGGATGAGCCCAACGGTGCGACTCCTCCTCCTCCTCCTCCTCCTCCTCCTCCTCCTCCTCCTCCTCCCTCCTCCTCCTCCTCCTCCTCCGCCTCCTCCTCCTCGATCTCTTCAACCCGCTGCCCCAGAAGTGCCGCCCCCCTCCCATGTGGGAGCCGATCCTTTCGCCCCCGAACCGCTTCGGATCGTCACGGGGCCGGACGACGGGCCCAGGGGGCCGAACTTGGGGAAAAACGCTGGGATTTGTTTGTAATATGTTTGGTACACACACTATATATATACATATATATATATATATGCATACATACATACCTACATACATACATACATACATACATAAATACATACATACATACATACATACATACATACATAGATATACATATATATGTATATACCTACCTACCTACCTACCTACCTACCTATCTACCTACCTACCTACCTACCTACCTACCTACCTACCTACCTACCTACCTACCTACATACATACATACACATACATACATACATGCACACATACATACATACATACATACATACATACATGCATATATACATATATCCGTACGTACATCCATACAAACCTACCTACCTACCTACCTACCTACCTACCTACCTAACTAACTAACTACCTACCTACCTACCTACCTACCTACACACATATATATATATATACATACATACATACATACATACATACATCCATACATACACTAAACATAACAATGGTACGAATACTACGAGAACGGATAACAACAACAATGATAGTATCGATACTATAAACATATAAAAATAATATATATATATATATATATATATATATATATATATGTTTTTTATAAATATATATATATATATAAAAAAAAACAAACAAAAAAAAACGTCGCTTCACCGCTGGTTCGGACAAGCGGTCTTGCGCCTTGGGGGGAGCGCCTCGGCCACCAGGGCAGCCTCCGCCTCGAACGCAGGGCTCGCCGTAGGGCCCCCGCCGCGGTGCCGACTTCGTCCTCTGCTTGGGCGCGTCCAGAACAAGTGAGCGCTTTTTTTTACTCGGCGTTTCGGCATTGGGCAGCGAGGAGGGGGGGAGGGGGGTGTCTGGCTCGGGACTTATGCTTAGTGCGACTGTTTAAAACCGTGCGTCCATTATTCGGGGGAGGCTCCACTCGCTCGAAACGGGCGCCAACAAAAGCAGCCAAGATCTGCTCCATTGAGGGGGGGGGTGCGAGGGCCCGCGCCGATCGGCAAAACAACGAATCAAAGAACGATCACCAAACGGAGCGGCGACACATGTTCTAGGTCGGGCGTGTCCTCCTACAGGCGGATTTTGGACGAAAACTGACACATACACGAAAAAAACATGAACACAGACGAACATGGTCGAAAAATCGTCCCCAGACTATGCTCTGACTATGTTTGAAGATTCCGCCTGTAGAGGGACACGCCCGACTTCGCACATGTTGCTTGGTCCGCGGCGAGGGCGAGCGTTATGTTGCTCCCATCGTACTTAAGGACCGCATCTCAGAAATAATTTCGAGCACCGGGACAAAGTATCGAAAGAGTGTCGAAACAGTGTGGGACGAGTGTCTCCCAGGGCCCGACCTGTGAAAACCCTAGAGTTTCGGTACTTTTTTGGTGCTCGTACTTTTTTCTCGTGATCATGGTGAAAGCAGGTTGGAACATCATAATCCTAGATGGGGTCGGAGTAGATGATGTCGGAGGATCGCACCGCACCGCCAATGCATCGCCGTTGAAAATCGGCGATGCGCTGGCGATGCACCAGCGACGCAGGCGATGCCTCGGCGACGTCGGCGAGAAGCAACTCGGGCTCCGCATCGAGCCGCATCGCCGATGCATCGGCGATGCGGCGCGATCCTGCGACCCCGTCTGCTCCGACCCCATCTGGGAGGCCCAGATTCTCAGAAGGCGGCGGGACTTCTCAGAAACCCTCGTGACCAGGGCTGCAGCAGGTTGGACCATCAGAAGGCGAGCGCCCAACAAGCGTTCTCGGGGGTCGCCGGCGGGCCGCAGGCGACAGAGCGACGGGCGCAGGCGAGGACGACAGGGGGGGAGGAGGAAAAAAGGGAGGAGGGGGAGGAGGAGGAGGAGGAGGAGGAGGAGGAGGAGGAGGAGGAGGAAGAGGAAGAAGAGGAGGAGGAGGAGGGGGACGAGGAGGAGGAGGAGGAGAACCTCGCCGCGGGGAGACACTGCGCCCCCATGGTGCATGATGCCAAAGAGCTTTCGAACACCGGAGGTGCTCCAATGTGGTGTGCCTTGGTCGCCGCTTCGCTGCTGGTGGGGCTCCTCTGGGGCTTCCGGGTGGCTCCGATATCACCCAAGAGGGCCCCAAGAGGAGCCCGTACACTGAGCATGGACCGACCGTCCCAGCATTGGCCTACCACGAAGTTTTCTTATAACCAAGTTTGCTCTCAGAACACAAACCGCATTCCTAGAACATAGGGCTGACGTGTTCAAACAGGACGGTCCCGAGCACAAATGTCATATGAGAACATTCCGCGCAGACCACAACAAGTTCTTGGAACACACCCTTCGGTGGGCCTCCAGGAATGACCGGACGCCTCGTCACTGCTAGAGCACAAGCCCCACGACGGCCCCGAGAGCGTGCACGGAAGCACATCGTCAGCTTAGCTGCCCCGATACGCAACACGCAACACGTGTCGTCTTGATACGGAGCTCGACACGTAGGCTGGAAACGTGGATCCGACGCGACACTTTCGCCAAAACGTGGTCCAATACGTGGAGCGAACACGCAACGTATTGACACGGACGTCTTGAACACGGGACGTGTAGCGTTTCAAAACGGGCGTATCGAGTTAACTAATTGAGCAGGGACCGACCGTCCTGGCATTTATAGATATAACACGAAATGTTCTCAGAACCAAAAATGTTCTAAGAACAATGCTCTTGGAACATAAACCCGAAGTGATAAAACAAGATAGACTCTGCCAGAAATGTTCTAAGAACATTTCGTGGAAACCACAAAAAGGTTCTTAGAACATTGCTTGGTAGGGCTATAGGCGAGCCAGGACGCTTCGCATTGCTTGAACTAAGATCGTCAGAGATAGGGGGAGGGCGCCCCGGGGGGGCCGCCCCCGGGCCGCCCGAAGGCCGGCGCGACGGCCGGCGCGACGGCCGCCCGAGGGCCGCCCGAGCGCCGCCAGAGGCGGCCCGAGGGCCGCCCGAGGGCCGCATGGGCTCGGCGGAGGCACGCCATCGACCCCGTCGCAGGCCGCCCGAGCCGTCTGCGGTCGCCCGACGACGCCGACGGCGCCGCGACGCCGACGCCGACGACGACGACGCCGACGACGACGCCGACGACGACGCCGACGACGCCGACGACGCCGACGCCGCCGACACGACGCCGACGACGACGGTCTACCCGGCCGCCGGCCGGGCTGCCTTCTGCGCCCCGGGCAGCGCGGGCCAAGGCCCAGGCGCCTCGGGCGCGCAGGCCTCGAGGGGTTCGTGGGGCGGGGGGGGAGACCCTGGCGTCGGGGGCGGCCAAGAGGGGGGCGTCCAAGAGGGGGGGGCGCAGATCATGGCCGGCGGCATGTGCGCGGCCCAGGGGGGAGGCCAGGGAAGTAATGAAATAAAGCGAGGCGCCATGAAATCTGTGGAAATATCATGGCCCAAGCCATGATATCCCCCCCCCTAGTCATCACCCCCCTCTTGGCCGCCCCCGATGGCGGCGCGCACGACTTCGGGCGGGGGGGGAGACCCGGAGATCCTGGCGCTGCAATTGTTTCGGCCCGCGGGACTTCCCCCCCTCGGCCATGGCGGCACACCCCTCGACGGAGCCCCTTCGACGCTGGCCGCCCATGGCGCCGTGTGACTCCGCGTCGTGCTCCGTTGGCGCCCCGGCCGATCTGGGGCCGCCCCAGAGCGATCGGGCTCGAGCTCGAAACGCGCCGCAGAAAGATGGGGTTCAGGGCTCGGGCCATGACTTGTCGCGACGTTGCGCAGTGTCGCGTCTCAGGGGAGGAGGAGGAGGAGGAGGAGGAGGAGGAGGAGGAGGAGGAGGCGGAGAAGGAGGAGGAGGAGGGGGAAGATGATGATGATGATGAGGAGGAGGAGGAGGAGGAGGAGGAGGAGGAGGAGTGGATTTGACGTGGCTTGATTCTATGGATCACGGCTGCACTGCTCACAGACCGCCGCCGCCGCCGACCAAATTCGCCGTCACCAGCAGAACACTCTTGTCCGGGAAACGGGTTGGAGGAAGGGACGGGGGGAAAGGGAGGAGAAGGGGGAAAAGGGGGAGGGAGGGAGGGAGGGACAGCAGGAGGAGGGCGGACGAATGGGGAAGGAGGAGGATCCAGGAGAGAGAGAGAGAGAGAGAGAGGGGGGGAAAAAAAGAGACCGATGTGGGTAACGCTGCCATGCCAGAAAGAGACCCTAAAGCGGCAACTTTCGACAAATTCCCCAAACAAGTACCATGTAGTGGGTACCCGTCACGGTGCCGCCATTTTGTTGCAACACGGGGTTCAAGAAAGTCCAAGCTCATTCCCCAGGAAAGGCTTCTGACGCTGACTCGTTTCTGCGGGTCCCTGGGCCCGGTGAGGGACCCAGAAGCCGAAAACGGCGAGATATTCTCGTCCGGATGTCTGTCAACACGTTCGACGTCTGGGTGACGGGGGGAAGCGACGAGGGGGGAGAAGAAGAAGAAGAAGAAAGAGAAATTTGTCGAAGAGCAGGAGATGGTGGAGCCCGATGCCTGCTTAGTTACTCAGCGCCCTCTCGGCACCACATGTTCTACCACATCTTCTGGGCCCTACTTGCGCCCGCACTGGCAGCAGCCTTCCTTTGTGTCACACATTGCTAAGTTGGATCGTATCGCACGCGCGCTACAGGCAGGCACCTTGAGGTCGCCAAACGTAAAAGAAGGTTGACTTCTCCCACCCTCCCCGTAAGTCGATCCACGGACGTGCCCTGAAGAGCGCCCTGATCAGGATTCAAAAGCGGCTCCGCCCTTGAAGACGTGACCAACCAGGGAGGCACATCCACAGATAGAAGACCAACAACAAGCACCTGTTCTTCTTCTTCTTCCTCCTCCTCCTCCTCCTCCTCTTCCTGAGTTGCGCGCAAGAGGGTAGAGGGAGGGGGGAAAGCTGCCTTCTCAGAAGCACCCTGCATCTTAGACGGCGCCGGCCACAGGTCTACAGACAAGGCCCGCGCCTGTCAAGAAGCGGGGTTGCTTCTAAGAAGCCTTCCCCCCTCCCCTTACCCCCCTCTGCACATGGCCGACTTCGGGCGGGGGGGGGTGTCGGGGATCTTCTGACCCGGGTCAATCCAGACCCGGGTCAGTCAGGCCTATCAGAGTCCTGCAAGATCCCGGAAGATCCTTCACCCAAGCCTGGGTCAACGTGAAGGATCCTGCAAGATCCTGCAGTATCCTGCGCCCAGACCCGGCTCGGTGCGACCCTGGCACTGCAGGATCCTGCAGGATCCCGCGCTCTGGCTGACCCCCGTTTGCTTTGACCCCCGTCCCTCGGGGATGGACAGACCCCCCTTTAGTAAAACGTGGTTTAGTGAAAACGGCCTGAGGCCCACACCTGGCGGGCGCAGGCCTGGAAAATAACGGCCGCGGCGCCCTCTCGAGGGCCGAAAACGGACAATTCACTAATCGACGTGTCACTGTTGGGGGTTATGTCCACCCCCGACCCGTCTCTAAAGGCTCCCGCGGGGGGGGGGGGAGAGACCTGGAGGTCCGGGCGCTGCAACTGTTCCGCCCCGCGGGCGTTTTTCCCCTCGGCCACTGCCAATCGCCCTTCTCTGCGCGTGGCCGATCCCCCCCCCCCCCATCGATCGTCGCGCTCCCGGCACCTCCCTCCCAGAGGGGGGGCTACGATTGGGTCGGGCATTCCCCCTGCAGGCGGATTGATTTTGGGCGAAACAAATCCCACAACAGAATCAAGAAAAATCGTCCCCTGACGACTTCTTGACTATTCTTGAGCATTCCTCCTTGAGAGAGGGGCACGCCCGACTTAGGACTACGACGACAGCGGCGCTCCCGAGGCCTCCCGAGGTCCAGGAGAGAAGCGAACGCGTCCAGGAACCTCTTGCACGGACCCTCGAATGTCGACGACGACGACGACGACAACGACGACAACGACGACCGGGATCGACCTGAACGATGTTTTTCGTTTTCGTCTTGTTTTCGTTGTCCCTCGTTCTGTCTTCAAGCCGCCTTCGCTGCACAACGAGGTCGAAAAAGAAAACGGCCCACGACATCGCCAAACCTGAAGGGGCCCTGGGACACACAAATAAATACACACAAATAACAGGATTCCCATATTTCCCCATATTTTCTGGGGTTTTGTCTTCCCCCCCACTCCCTATATTTTCCAATATTATCTGGGGAATCGACGATGAATTGTGTCTGTGTTTGTTCCCTCCTGGAAACCACCGTTCAGATCGACCCCTGGCCGACGACGACCGGTACCGTCCTGGGGCGCGCTCCGGCCAGAACTCCGAGGCGGTCCAGCCCTGGCCACGAGGTCGGCCCCTGCAGGCTCCAAGGGCGCCAGAATCGACAGAAGCAGAGGATGCTCGACGACAGCGACAACGAGATCGGCGAGGACGAGGACGAGGACGAGGACGACGACCACGATGACGACGACGCAGACGACGACGACGATGGCGACGGCGGTGACGACGACGAGCACAACGGCGACGACGACGGCGACGACGACGGTGACGACGAACACGACGTCGTGCACGGTTTCCCCAGGGCCGTAGTCGACCCGAGGAGGAGGAGGAGGAGGAGGAGGAGGAGGAGGAGGAGGAGGAGGAGGGGGAGGAGGAGGAGGAGGAGGAGGAGGAGGAGGAGGAGGAGGAGAAGGAGCAGCAGGAGGAGGAGGAGAAGGAGGAGGAGGAGGAGGAGGAGAAGGAGGAGAGGAGGAGGACGGGTCGCCAAAGCCCTTCGGAGAAACACTCCACGACGGCGACGACGACGATGGCGACGATGGTGACGGCGGCGACGGCCACGCAACGATCCGCAGGGCCGCCTTCTGCGCCGCTGGCAGCGCGGGCCACTGCCCCGCCTCCGGCGCACGGGCCTTCTCGTCGCCGTCGTCGTCGTCGCGGTCGTCGTCGTGGTCGCTGTCTCAGGCCGGGCGTGTCCTCCTACAGGGGGGCTTTGGACGGAGAGATACAGATCGTCAGACCAGATTCCAGAATGGACCAAAAATATACCAAAAAGACAAAACAAGACATGGTCCCCAGACACATTTCCAGACCGTTTCTGAATAGTTCCCTGCTGTAGAGGGACGGGCCCGACGGAATTGCTATCGATCTCGTCGTCGTCGTCGATCCCGTCGGCGTCGTCGTCGTCGTCGTCGTCGATCCCGTCGGCGTCGTCGTCGCTCCCGCCTGCGGCATCTCGGCACGCAGCGAGCGGGTCCTGGAGGAACTGGGGGCCTGGACGCCTTGTCCAGTGTTCTCGGGCCTTCCTGTCTGAAGGGGCCCTGGGACACACAGATAAATGCACACAGATAGCAGGATTCCCCATACTTTCTAATATCTCTTCCCCCCCACTTCCCATATTTTCCCATCTTTTCTGGGAGATCGACGATTCATTGTGTCTCTGTGCTTTCGGGCCTTCATGCCATCCCCACCCTCCGACCTCTGCTCGTCCCCCGCCCCCGGGCTTTCCTCGCCCCCTCGATCGCTCGATCCCTCCTCCCCGCCCTCTCCTCCTCGCGCTCCCGCCTCCTGCTCCCTCCACCTCCGCCACCATCTCCTGCTCCTCCTCCACCTCGTCGTCCCCCCTTCCCCCTCCGATGATGTCGGCCGCGACGACATCGAAGACGTCGACGGCCACGGAGACGACGACGACGACAACGAAGACGACGGCGACGACAACGACGATGACGGTGACGACGACGGCGACGGCGGCGACGACGATGGCGACGGCGGCGACGACGGCAACGACGACGACGACGACAGCGACGTCGACGTCGACGACGGCGACGACGTCGACGACGACGATGACGATGGCAGCGACGAAGACGATGGCGATAGCGGCGACGGAGACGGCGAGCCGCGGACGTTACCGCGGGCCTGGCTAACGGCCGCCGCCGTGGCCGCCGTGGCCGCGGGCGGCGACGGGGTGGTGCCGTTGGACGGCGTCGGGGTGGGGGCCGCGGGCGGCGACGGGGCGGAGTCCTGCGGTCGCTGGCGTGGTCGGCGAAGCCGCTGTCGTGATCGTCGGCGGTGGCGTTGGCGGCGTGGTCGGCGGCGTGGCCGGCGCGGTCGTCGCAGGCGGCGGCTTCGGCGGCGGCGGCGTTGGCGGCGTCGCCAGCGTCGGTGCTCGGCAAGGGAGAGGGGGGCAGGCGGAAGCGGAGGGACGTATAGGAGGGATCTTCCTTCTTTTCGTCATCCCTCCTCTTCCTCCTCCTTCTCCTTTCCCTCGGCTCCTCACCATCACACCCGTGCTGCTCCCCGTCTTCTGGTCAAGGGAAAACTCATGCGGCTGGCGCTTCGGTTCGCGATCTTGGACTCCACGTGCCGTTTTGGGGGGCCTCGGGCAGCAAACAACGACCCGCGGACAAGACAAGCTTTCAACATTTGAAAGTCGAAAACTAATGGTCCCCACGTCGCCAAGGATCGCGCCGTGAAGGTCCCCCCCTCCCGCTCCCCCCAGCCGCCGAGTCTAGGGGGCTCTGGGGGTGTGGCGTACTGAGGGGGGGCGTCACCCGAAGACCAATGTAACCACAGCGGGTTTTGCGTAGGACTGGTCAGCAGCGAGAGCGAGAGGTGATAAGTTGTTGTGCGCGCGCACACGCACTCGCGAGGGGAGTCGCGGCCGGCCGAAGAGCCTATCTACTAAGAACGGCACATCGCGATATGGGGTCGCGCGTGCAACATGTCCGAAGACTGTCGTCTCAACAGGCTCTACCTGCGAGCGGGAAAAAAACACTATTCCGCGCTTGTCGGTGCAATGCAGTTGCTGAGCACAAGGTGCACCGACACTTCTAATGAATGCGGCGCTACGGACATTGGCCCTCTTCTGCGCCAAACTTGTTCGATCGTGTCATTCAGGAGAGAACGGCAAGAACACGTTCAGCCACCGCGTCTTGACAGTCTCAAACTTCCACCGTGCGGTTAGATTTTGGTTGGCTTGCAGACGAGTGTCGCCCCAGCTGTCATCGCTCCACATGGGCTGGGTGTCCCAGTTGCAATTAATGTAAGCGAAGAGTCTCACGTCGTTCTGCTCGATGAACTCAAACATCGGCCGAAACCAGCTCTCCCATGCAAAAGCAGCGTCCGGATAGGTCATCCGGTACGCGCGCGCCGTCGACTGTACGATCACCACGGGCTTGCGTCGGGCTGCCGCCAGCATGGCCCAATCCTGGAGGTCCTTCATCTCCTGGCGAACGCGACGCTTGTATGGGTGCCCGTCCGCGTAGAGCGCAGTGAACACCGATGCGCCGAATAAGTCCACGTAATTATCACCAGGGTACCAATCCATGCGGTCGAACCCCTTGTAGTTGGGAAGGACGGCCGACTGCCAGACCCAGAGCACGTTCGTGACGTTGGTGACCCAGAAGAGGTCCACGAAGCGCCGATAGGCGAGCTTGTACGCCTCCGGCTCGAAGCGACTCCGCTCGCCGTCGAACTCGTGGCCTGGGCGCATGTACACGGGCCCGCCTGTCGTCTTGACCCATGACGCTAGGCTTCTGATGTTGTCGTCCCACGCCCCCGCGGCCACGTCGTCGACCGTGTCCACGATGTCCACGGCCAGGTTGAAGGCCACGCCCTGGCCGTACTTCTGGAGCAGGCAATCGGCGCACTGCGGCCCAGCGCCCCAGTCCCCCAGCCACCAGAGCCCGCTGCCCACGTCCTCGATCCTGACGTGCACGCTGATAGAAGGAGAAAACACATGAAAAACATGGGCTTTCTGAGGTCTACGCGGGCTTCTTGGGCCGGTGCTGACATCACCCATGGCGCGCGGAGCGCGTCAAAGATGCGCGCGGAGCGCGCCAATGGCGGCGCTGGAGGCGCCGCCAGGGGGGTCCAACTCAGATCCAACAGATCCGCGCGGACCTCCGAAATGTCACGCTCACGCCGTGCTTCCTCCTTCGGGCTGAACCCCGCCGGAGTCCCGAAGGCGTCCGTGTACCCCTCGATGCTGTCGCTGTCCTGGCCGATGAGCAGGAGGGTCTTGCCCGGGCGGGGCCACAGCGCCGCGGGCAGCCCGCTCGGCTTGGTCGCCAGCGCGGTGGGCACGCGCTCCTCCACGGCCTCGGCCACCAGGTCCAGCGCCGTCGCGGGCTCGGCCCCGGAAGGCCCTGAGGAGGGCGCCGGCACTGGTGCCGGAACGGGCGGCCCGGTAGGTGCAGGCGTGGGAGGCGGGGCGGGTATGTCGGGCGCGCCGGAGAGTGAGGGGGGCCAGGGAACATCAGAGGAGGGCAGAGCACCGATGTCGCTGCACGCTTCCCTCGTCGCCACGCACGGATGCGCCTCGAAGTTCTAGTCCAAGCGCACCCCAGGAGAGGTCCGCGGAGTAGCGGCCTTGGCATCTTTGTACTTCCGCAGAGGAGTGGGAGTAGCGCATCATGGCCCGACGTGTTCGAGCGGACCAAGGGGGGAGCCCAGAACGGACTGGAAGCAGAAGAAGGGGCTTCTGAATCTGAGAGGCCTCATGGACCTAGCTATCATATGTCCGCACCCCCGTAGCCCTCTGTCACCCTCTTCCGGCGCCCCCGAGTATGTGAGCAAGGAGCCCTGGTGCGGGCGGCAGCACCTGCTGCTTCGGCGCCAAGGTTGGTAGCGGCATCGCCAAGGAAGGTTCTGGCGTGGGCAACGTGTACTTTTCCGTCAGGTCCTTGTTCGTGGCAAGATCGTCGAAGAAGCCCTGGGGATCGAAGTCGTCCTGGGCATCCGAGTCAATTTTATGTTTTTTTTGTTGAGGGGGCATCCGAGTCAATCTCGAAGGACAAATCAGCATGTATAAGCATACATGTTCAACCGTCCGCGCGGATTTCTTGGATCTGCGCTGGACCCCCCCTCTGTGGCGCGCGGAACGCGCAAGGCCAGCAGGGGTCCCCGCGCCGAGCCGAGACTTTCCCGCGGACCGTCGATATTCTGTGCTCTGCGTTTTTGTGCTCTTCGCCCCCCCCCCCTCCCCGAACCCAATGCCTCGAACCTCGCCCCCCGTTGGCCATCGCTCGGACGTCCATTCCCTGTGCTTGTTTCGGTTTCGTGCGTGGTTTTCTTCGCCAAATGATCAAGGATGCTCCTCGATTGTCCTCGCCGGAAGAAAGATGCACACGTCCGAGCAATGCCAAGCTCCTGGTGGCCAGAGCCAGTGCTGGACCACCTCAAGCCCCCACACGGCTTCCAAGTCCTGGGCATCCCAGCCAAGCTTGGGCCGGACTTGGGAATCCCACTCGTTCAGCACGGTGCCCGCCGCAGAATCCACCGGGCCACTCCCAGGAGCGAAGCCTCCCGTGCTTCTCCGGCGGGGCGCCCAGGCAGCTGCACCACACGCCGCGACCGTCAGAAATGCGCCTGCCACTGCGCGACGGGCTCCCGAGCGCGGGCCGTCAGGTCGTCGCAGAGGGCCTTCGCCGTACACGGACTCCTGGCAAGATCTTTTTGTGTGTGTGACCCTCCTTCAAGCATCTCGCCACAGCCAAGCAAGGTTTAACTAGCTGATGGGCAATGTTCGTCTGCAGAACAAGCGCGCACAGTATATATATATATATATATATATACATATACGCGTGCATGTGTGCATACATGCATACACACATAGGCATACACATACATACATACATACATGCATGCATATATGCATACATACATACATACATACATACATACATACATGCATATATGCATACATGCATACATGCATGCATGCATACATACATACATACATACACACATACCTACATACATACATACATACATACATACATACATACATATATACATACATACACACATACACACATACACACATACACACATACATACATACATACATACATACATACATACATACATACATACATACATATACATACATACATACACACACATGCATACATACATACATACATACCTACATACATACATACATACATACATGCATGCATTCATGCATACATACATATATACATACATACATACACACACGTATATATATGCATACATACATAAATACATACATATATATACATACATACATCCATACATACATACATACATACATACACACGTACGTACATACATACATACACACATACACGCATATATACATGCATACATGCATTCATATATACCTATATATATGCATGCGTACATAGATACATGCATACATGCATACACACATACACACATGCATACGTATATACATACAAACGAACACACATACATTCATACATACATGCATGCGTGCATGCATGCATGCATACATACATACATACAAACATACATACATACGTACATACATACGTACATACACATCCACATACGTACTACATGCATACATACATGCACATGTACATGCATCCATGCATCTATACATACATACATACATATATGCATGCATGCATGCATGCATGCATGTATACATACATACATACATACACGCATACATACATGCCAATCCATACATACATCTACAACATGCAGCTTACAGAGATGTATGTAGGAATGTGCCTGGGGCAAGCGAGTTTCGTGTGGTCGGTATATGCCAAGATGGCGAGATGTGTAACATCATCTATCTGTGACACATGCTGGCCGCAAAGCGGGGCCCGCTGCCTGGCAGGAGTTGTCAGCATCGAATCGGGGAATCGGGCACAATCGGGATGTGCGTCGGTTCGGGCCGCATCGGCACGGAGTCTAGATCGAGTCGGATCGGCGGCATCACGATGCACAACGGCGTCGGGGAGAAACATCGGACTGCATCGGACCGCAGGAGAACCGAAAACGAATCGGATCGAACTGGCCGAAATCGACATCGAATCGGATCGATCGCATCGACGTGGGCCCTGTCCTGGTCGCCGTCCTCGCTCGAGGAGGAGCCAGCCTCGCCACGCGCGTGGGACATTCCGAGCCCGAGCGCCTCCGATCCCGTGCGGCGGCAACTGCCCGCGGGACCGCAGGAGGCATCCTCAACGAGATTTTCCAGCCGACACGGCTACGGAAGAGCACCAGCATGGGAGAGCGGCGCAGGGGTTGGCAAGATCAATCAGCATCGAAAAGGGAATGGGATCGAGTCGGAATCTTCGTCAGATCGGGCTGCATCGGCACGGCGTCGGAATCGAATCGGATAGGCTGCGACAGGATGCACAACCACGCCATGCAAGCATCGGGCAGCATTGGATTGTAGGAGTATCGGAATCGAATCGGATCCAGCCGGCCAAAACCGACATCCGATCGGATCGACCGGATCGGAACGTACCCTGGCTTGGAGGGCGAAGAGGCCGGGCCAAACGGACGCGATCCGAGCAGACTGGCAGGATCAGGCGCGTGAGAAGCAGCAACATCAGGGGGCAGCAGCAGCAACACAGTGGCCCGTAGCTCCCGACCCCTTCCCCGAGGGCGCTTGCGTCCAGGGCCCGCTCGCGAGGGCCCCGGGGCCCGAAGACGCCGCCAGCCGAGCCCGAGGCGAGGGCCACGCGCCGCGACCGACGAAGTCACTTCGGCCGAGGTATTGGGGCCAGCCGGCCCAGGAGCGGTATGTACCCAGACCCCCTCGGGCCATCAAACAGACATGACGGGAAACGTTTTGCGATGTGCTGCCTCTGGGGGCCCTTATAACCGTCAGAGAACCATGTGTTGGGAACGAATGGGTCGAGACCTCTGGGAGGCCACGTTGCGAAAAACCCTGTCGCCGGGGATCCGTCCAGGCACGGACGGGATGTTCGGGCACAGTGGTAGATGTCGCCCAGGTGGGCTCCGAGCAGATGGGGCTGGAAGATCGCCGACGCATCGCCAATGCATCGCCTGTGCGTCAGCGATGCATCGGCGATGTGACCAGACATGCGATGTCTCAATGTTCTCCCAAAAAACGCAACCCTTTCGCCAGGGCTGGTTTTTCGTTCCGGGAGATTTGTTGACGGCCACCGGGGGTGTGGCAGGGGCCCCCAGAGGCCGAAATCGGCTTAAATCTACCCATCGTGTTTTTGGAGCGATGCGAGCTTGTCAGGGCTCGGGGTGTGTTCTGACCAGAATGTCAAAGCGGATCCAGCCGTGGCAACAAGGATGCCCACTGGAAGCCCACAAGGTAGAGAACACAATCCAAGCTCGATCCTCATTCTCGAACCGAGATGGAACATCACACATTTTTCTATGGCAACCAATGGTCACAAACAAATGCGAAGAATGTTCCGTGATTTTTTACGTCACTCACAAAAGCCGTGTGATGTTCCATCTCAACCTCCGTCGTGAGGGAGGGAGGATCGGGCCGCACGAAAGGGGGGCATGGGGAAAGGGAGGGGGGGTACAAAATCTGCTGCACGCAGCTGGTTCTGGCCCCGCCGCCGGGCCCAGTCCTCGATGCATGGGCGCCTCCCGGCGCCGGGAGGCGCCAGGAAAACCAGCTGCGTGAGCTGAGTCTCTACCCCGTCGGGCGTGTCCCCCTACAGGGGGATTTGGGCGAAAAATTCAAAATAGTCAAACTAATACTCTCCGATAGCCAAACACTATAATCTAAAAATAGTCTCTTACTATGTATGAATAGACCTCGGGTAGACGGAAAAGCCCGCCTGAATCCCAGCCTCTCGCTCCCCCCGAGAGGAGGTAATCGTGGCCCACGGTCTGGCGGAGGAGGGGCACCACGACGCAGCGCGCGCGGAGGAGGAGCGCCGCGCGGAGGTGGGTGCGGGCCGCGCGGCGGCGGCGCCCCCTCCTCCGCCACCAGCAGCTCCTCGCGGGCCGCCCCCCTGATCTTCCTCCCGCCTCCTGCTTCCTTCTCCTCCTCCTC